AATTATAGACTTGATATAAAGTCTTAGTGCTTACCTTTGAGAATATAGTCTGTTAGGAGGGCAGGTACCTTCTCACTGTCATCCCTCATGGCATGGAGGACTAGAATGAAGACAGCAGCTTTTTACATTTAGAAAACAACCACACAAACTGACAGGTTAGCCCCAATCAAACAGCAACACCGAGTTAGCCTGGTAACACAATATTATTTTACTGAATGTCATTTTATCTGGGTCGGTGCAGATGAAAAGAAGTTTGTCCAACTGATAAAATTCACACAGGTTTGAATTGTAATCATCGAATGTAAATTGTTGTTTACTTCATATATGAATCCAAACACCCTCCAAATGATGATGCATCTCTGATAAGACTTTCGACTCACTCTTTGTGAGGATCTGGAGATCTTCTACAGACGGGGGGCCTGCTTTCTTCTCATAAGGGATCACTGTGGTCAGGTACTGCAAAGAAAGTCAATTATGTCAAATACAATGACACAGCTACAAAAAGCTACCGTCATGTTTCACGCCAAAATAAAAAAAAATAAAAATATGATATCTGTGAGCGCCATGCAGATCACATGAACATGTGGTAAATATTTGGCTGCTGGTTGCAACCTTTCAGCAGCCGCTCAGAGAAAATGTTTACTGAAGCGAGGGTAAAAAAAATAAAATAAAAATATCAGATGAATGAGACGTACATGCTGGAAAAAAGAAAAACATTTGACAAAAGACAAAGCTAAGAATGACTAAAGTGAAGGAAAAAAAGAATAATTAAAAAATAAATAAATAAGAAGAAGACAGATTAAAACGATGGCAAGCATGTGTTTGCAGCTGCACAAAAGGAAGCAAAATGGCGGCAGGACAAAAAAAAACAAGCAAACAGAAGAAGCAGAGAATTTTATCTGCAGTGGAAGTGGAAAGAGGAAAGAGCAGGGGCACCTGTTTGTCCCCTCCTGTGTTGCCAAAAGTTTGACGGAGGCCATTTTGAATGATATTGGAGAGTCCCTCCACAGTGAGGAGCTACAAGAAGCGAGAGGAAGATAGAAGAAGCGAGAGATGAGAAGGATTTGGTTTCAGTGCGAAGAGAAATGGTAAATGGCCTGTATTTATATAGCGCTTTTACTAGTCCCTAAGGACCCCAAAGCGCTTTACATATCCAGTCATCCACCCATTCACACACTGGTGATGGCAAGCTACATTGTAGCCACAGCCACCCTGGGGCGCACTGACAGAGGCGAGGCTGCCGGACACTGGCGCCACCAGGCCCTCTGACCGCCACCAGAAGGAGAGCGCCTGGCAGAACCTTTGGTGCTGTGATGAAAGATTCTCACACATGCAGACCGTTTATCAGGTTACGCATCTCTCCATATAATGTAAACACTTTCATCAAAGTAATGCATGTCTTCTTCCACAAGCGTGACCACGTGACTCACCGTGCCGGGTATGTGCGTGCTGGCCGTCCTCTGGCCGTTGGGCCCCATCGTAGTCGTGTGCCGGATTTTCTTCTTCTTCCGCAGCAGCTCGCGGTGCTCCTTCTGTCTGTTCTGCACTTCAATGAGCAGTGAGATGAAGCTGTTCTTCACCTGGATACATGCAAAAAAAAACAAAACAAAATTTAAAAGAAAACTGTTTAATTGTGACCACACTACCCTTTGCTATTCTCATTAAAAGAATTATTAATATGCCAGAAATCTATTTTTGGATGCTTCAAAGAAAAGAAAAAACAAAAACAAACAGAACGGTGTGACAGAATCGTGACAATGACAAGTCAGGCTAAAAATAAAGCTGCCAACGGTTCATACGCTTGTAGAAAACTGTGAGAGCTGCTGCTATAAAACAAATAGGTTATCGATTAACTGTCCTTTCACATTAGGCTTATTTACCTCAAAGTACTACAGAGCTTTTCTGACAGGCTATTCTTTTTTTTGCCGCCATTTGTCATTGCCTGAACGTCATTGCCTTGCTGTGGATTTAAAAAAATAATTAAATAAATCAAAGTACCTCCTTTTCATAGTCCAATTCATCTCGCAGAGCCAGAGCCTGGATCAGCTCCTCACTGTAGCGACGAATGGCCGCCTCCACTTCCTCCAGAGTCTCAGTCAGCTCCGACACGGACATCTGACGCAGCCCTGAGGACCGTGTGAACATACGAGGAAGGAGGAGAGTGAAGATGGTGTACGTGGGTTGACGGGTGTTCACAATGAACAGCAGTTTACAAAATCCTTACATTGTATCAGTTATTTTAGTGCTATTACAAGATTCACATGTGTAATAACCAGGTTATAAGCATCTGCTGTACCAGTTTAAAAGGAGACAAAGAGGCATTATTCATTTAAAGGTGCATTACGCAGCAGTGTTTGAGCAAGCAAGAGCACGAATGCTGAGAGAAAGAGAGACAGCGCAGCTTTAGTGAAAACAAATGTCAATCAGAGAAGATGTTGTTATTTTTCTATTGTTTCGGTAAAGGTTAGGTTTCAACGCACAAAAAAAACAAACAAAAAAAAAACACGGCCACGCCCCCATACAAATATGGAGGTGTGACCTCTTTAAACAAGGTTTCTTCCTTGTTTAATGGGAGTTTTCCTTCCCACTGTTACCAATTGATTGCTCAAAGGGGGGGTCATCTGATTGTTGGAGGTCTCTCCATTATTGTGGGTTGTTAATGTTACAATTTAAAGGCACCTTGAGGCAACCATTGTTGTGATTTGGTGCTAAAACTTAACTGAATTGAATTTGAGGGTAGCGTTGCTAACTTAAGCTTCCTTGTGTCTTTTTTTTCTCTCTTATGACATGGAAATGACTCCCAGTCTTTCATTGAAAAAAATACATCTTACAACCCACTAAGCTCCAGACTTAAGAAGATGAGAAGCGAGGATGCTTCTGGACGTGCCGATGGTCTGACGTACACATACAGCACTTCTAAAAGTAGCACAGAATGACGCCAGTTATCACAGATGTTGTGGAATCGATTACTTCTCATTAAGAAGCTTTGCATCCTCTGTTTTCGTGTCTCTTTCTTGAATGTCTTTCTAGGTCTCGCTGGGAAAAGTTGAGATCCAAGAAGGAGATCCAATATGGGGGAAGTCAGCACAAATGAAAGCACCGATAGAGGTGCTTTCATTTCCACGACACAGACAGAGAGCAGAGGATGAGACAGTGATGTAACCTGGTCGCAACATTTCTTTTTTTAATAGACTCCTGCCTACGCAGCCCTCATGCTGATACTGGCTGGGGGCTACACGCCCACTGCCCGAAGGTTTCAGCAAAAAAGATCCTGAAGGGCATGAAATAACACACCTCCACATAGTTCCAGAGGGTCACAATTAATTATAGATTATGGATTGCCATGTTTTAAGTCTATACAGTGTTTGTTGGGGGAAAAAAAACCCCCCACATAATTTACACTTGAATGTTTTTAAGTCAGACAAATATACAACCTACACGAAACCTTTTACGTCTTAAACAAATTTAATGCGAGAAATGAAGAAAGAAGGTATTTTGGCAACATGTTGTGTAGCTTTACTTATTTTTATTCCTTCAAATAAGAGTAAATGTTTAAATACTGCAGACAAACATTGTGACACTCACAGTCCTTGTTTCCAGTGTTTGAAAAAACCCAAACCCACTAGAATCTGCAGTTAACAGATGCAAATACCTGAAACAAAATGGCCTTAAGGCTTTCTGTGTACAAATGCATATTCCACCCCAGTCGAGCATTAGGCAGATATACGCTTGTAATTATATAACATTTTGGGGCAACACACTTGCTGTTTGTCCGCATTTGTTACGCGTTATGTAAGAATGTTATCAGACGAGTGCATGTGCCTGACCATTTCTTCACGCACTGGACAGCGCAGACATGAGGAACGAGCACGCCACCATCAAAGCGTTTTGCCTTTAAAGCTTTATGTTGCTGCAATTTAGTGGTACACGGTGATACTCACGGTCCTCGTAGCTGGTGTTGGACCCGGAGCGTTTTAGAGCATTGAGGTCTTGAGAGAGCATGGACAAGTCGGACTGTGAAGGACTCTCATCGTCCTCTGGGTCTGGAGACTCCTGCATCATCTCCTCTATCTCCTCAATCACCTGTACAAAAAACAACAGAGGTGGGCGGATCAATCCAAATATCAATAGTATCGATACCAACGCTGGTATTGGTATGGGGGTAGAAACAAAATGTCTAAATTAAGCATGTAGTCCACTAAATTGTGTTAAAAAAATAATTCATTTTGAAAATGAAAAAACATTTATCCTCACCTCCTATTACAACTAGCACCATGCTAAAGGCTTCATACATTCCCTCACAGAAAACATTATTGCTAGTTCACGTAAACATAGGCTGAAATCAGAGTCCTACGGTCCCCAATCATGGGGATAAGGTGAGCGATTTCAAGAAAAAGCAGCAGAACCCAGTGTGTGTTTACATGACCAAAACGATTGGAACAACTGTTCTGATCTATATTGACATGATGATTTTTTATTGTAGTGACGAAAACGTTTTTCCTACTCTGTCACGTAAAAATAACGCTGCTTTGACATCCATGTTATGGTGCCAATATCCAAATCTCTGCAGCGAAATAAAAGTGCTCCTCCTTATTCATATGAATTTGGTGCATCTCTAAGAAAAACAAACAAAATCAAAATCATAGGGCAATGCTTTCACTTTGAAATGGTGTTACATTTCTGTGAGTTAAGACATCTTAGTACACAAATAAGCTGTTTATTCACCTTTTTGAGAGCAAAATATAAAGTCTATCACTCCATTGTACCTGCATAATGGATGCGAAAAAAACCCTGAGCTACAGGATAGCATGTCTTTTGAACATTATTGTCCCAAAGCCATGATTGCTAAGTGAATCTATTGGACACACATCTTTAGCCAAATGTGACTGCGTTGAGGATTTCAGTGCATCTTTGTAAGTTGGATAGATAGACTGTGTTTTCTGCTCTTCATAAGATGCTAAATATGTCAATTCCACTGAGGCACAATTATCCACATCAAAGTTTCTTTAACATCTGCCAAAAGCACAACACTGCTGTGCTCAGGTGTGAATGTTTTACCTGCTCGGCTGTGAAAAGCGGCTCGTCGTTGATGCACGAGACGATGATTGAGTGCATGTCCATCTGCTCCCTCAGCTCCTCATCGTCAGACAGATCTAAAGATTGGTTATCCAACTTCTGTCCCAGGGGAAAAAAGGGAGGGCAGAGATTGAGAGACAGATAGGAAACTTGGATGAGACAACAAACAGGTGGTTAAGTAGATTGAAGGCAGAGGGTTCAAACTGATTACCGATCTGTGCACTTCACTTTTAGAAATGTATATCTACTGTGTGTTATAAACATCGGACATGACATTGGACCGTGTTTGCCTCTGCGGTACCTCGTGTTCGGTGAGGTTGAGGGAAGGCAGGTGTAAGGAGCGAGTGTGCGATGTCTTCCAGTCCACCGGCATCACATTGCCGTAGTTATCCGTCAGAGCGTTCCACACCCTGGAGCAAAGACAAGCATCCGTGACGCAGTTAGGATTGGGTATTATGAGAAATAAAGAGAAGTAGTGAGCAAAACAGAGAAGGACGGGTGAAAAGTAGTTTTATCTGTACACAGGACAGATAGCGTCCTTCTCTTTTTAGTATGACACATGATTACTTGGCACTTTTTGTGTCCTGTTCTCTGACCACCCCCTCACCACTTCAACATGTTCTTGCTGCTGAATCACACCGAAGCCGCTGATAAATGCGACAGCTCTAACAAACACGTCATTTGCCCAGGGTCTGCTGAAATGTGACGAACCATTGGTTAAACTATTGGTTCTCCAATTATTTTCAGAATTTTTACTATTAGAGCTCTTTCTGAGTGTGTGACTAACACTGGGTGATTTTGGGGGGGGGGCGTTACAGTGACACCAACAGTCTGTTGAATGTTTACAATACTGTGCAGCATTCGAGTTTGGCAGACAACTTAGCAGAGACGAACAGATGGTGGCACGGAGTCTGTTCAACACAACAAGTTACTGTTAAACACAAATCCAGCATCATGCGTAAAAACATATTTGTTAACAGACTGTCAGCAGGCTCGGAGGATTCTTGTGAAATGGATAAAGGTTAGGTTCAATTATATAATTACTGCGGGAAACTACTTTCATCTAGTCCCCCATGGGGTACTTTTGCGTGTTTTTTTTTAAACTCTAGGACAGAAAATCAAATCAGTTCAGGGTTTAAACTCAAGTGTGCATGCACGAGGTTCATTTTTCCCCCCTCCTCTTTTGGCTCTGCATGTGCGAGCACAGAGAGGATGGATGCTGTGAACCCATGTGTCACAATGGCTCTGCATTGTCATAGCCTCTTGCTCATCCTCGGAAACACAAACACACAGACACACACAGGCAAATGTTTATATAACATGCACATTTCTCCCTGAAGTGCTCACGCACAGCTTGGGAAGCGTGGGGCTGTTGGGTTGTTCTAAATAGGGCAAAGGCTGGCAAGGAACTATTTTTTGTGCCTTGAGCACTGACGCCGTCTCTGCCACGTGAGCGTGTGCCAAAACGCACCATTAGCTTCAGTTTCACCGAGTGCATTTGCATTTTAAAAACAAGCCTGGTTGTTATTTCAATTGAAATTTTCGATCGGTTTGTTTTTACCTCAGTGCTGAGGAAATTTGTCCGGATTACTTTAAGAATACGTATATGCTTGCAGGGGTACAAATATATATAATTTTTTTACCCACTTTGTTTCAAGCACACACACATTTGTCATCCCACAGTTCGTCTCAGGCATGGTTTTGCCAGAGAACTCGTTAAGCGTCTAGGCACGTCCCGCAAAAGTGCAGTCATCCAGAAAAGACTCTCACCGAGTCTGGCACTGCTCTTTAGGCTTGACTAGGCTGCTGTCCAATTATTACGTTCCCCGCTTCCTGTTTCTTTACCTACAACAACCATAAATGTTTTCTTTCCGCTGTCATGCCAGCTTCCCCACAGGATTCCATTGATCATTAAGTGAGACAGACTGCTACTTCTTTTTGCTGTGACAAGCTCTCTGATGTGCATAACTGTCTGTGTGTTGCACTGAAGTGGAAAAAAAGAAAGAAAAGGATAAAAATCAAAACTGGGTGCTCAAGCAGAGTTTTGTATAAGTCTACGCACAATCCTCTGGACCCTCTGTCTGTGTCAAAAACTGTTAGAAAAGGTTTATGGAGGCTTTTGAATCTTAGGAAAGTTGTTCTGAATGGGTCACACATCCACCACTGTTTCCTGAGAAAAAGCAAACTCTGATGCCTCTAATTATAAGGAGGGGGACCTGTACAACCTGCAAATCCAATTTTAAAACTTCTTAGTGGGTACGTCTCACTCCAAGTAACTTTTGGACAAGTTGATCACAAGGGTACGGCAACCTTTACAGCCTTAACTGTGTGCTACTATTTTGTGTGTCTAAAAAAAGACATGATAAGTACACTTATGTTTGTGTGTTATCAATTTATCCTGTGTTCCGCTATAATTCCTCTATAAAAGCAGAAATCCATGGCTAACCTCTGTTTTGTTCTGTTCATGTCAGCAGTAGGAAAGCTTCCCCGCATCGTGTGCTTGCATCTTACAGTGCCACAGTGTTGAAATATTAGTTACAAAAGGGAGGAGGAGAGTGACTCATGCAGTCAAGACAGCTTAGTAGTTAAAGTGACAACTACACTGGCTGCAGGGCTGATGTGACTTGCCGCTTTGAATTAATAAAAGGTTTTCATGTAAATGTGTGTGTGTCTGTGAGATACAACATAAACTAAGTACCTCCATGTGGAATTTATAATAAATAAATAAATAAATAGAAAACATTTTAGTGATAAAAACCACCGAGTGACCTTGACATCACCCACTTGGGTTCCTGGACACCCATTTTGAATCCTCCTTTAAAGTTTAGAATTTTGGAACCATCAGTGACAATCTAGGGATATTAAGCACACCCAAACAGCAATCGTCAAACACAAGACAGATGCTCCAGAATCATGTGGCTTATGCATAAGCTATTTCAGCCTAAACAGAACCATAACTTATAAAAAAAAAAGACCACTATACAAGACAATATAAGAAGGTATCTATCCAGCAGATGAGGGAAATATTTACTCAGGTACAAAAAGTACTGCAGTTAGAAGTGGGATGGTTTTTCCTGTCTTTCTGTCTGCTCCCATTAGAAAGAATGCAGGCTTAAGGCAATTTCACACCTGGCTATGTAGAGTCCACGGTGAGACCAGATGTTGAAGTCAATAGAAGGTTTTGATAAATTCTTATTTCATACCCAGTTATTTCATTTACCATGACATTTTGTGGATTTTCTTCTTTTTGTTACCCATCCCACTGTTTTTAAACATTAATCTAGTGCAAGGTGCATGTGGCACAGCAGATAATATATAATAAATAAATACTGATAAGCCACCATAAGTGAAGGAGGCTGACATCAGGGTAGCAATAAAATCTATGAATACATGTCTCTGTATCCAGAAAGAGGAAACATCATGAAAGCCAAAAGCAGAAACTCTTTTGTGTCGTGTGAGAAAGGCAATTTGAAAACAGGAGGAGACAGAGCATTTGCACAGGGGTCAACAACTATTCAGTTATTCCCAAATGTACAATTTAAGGATCACTAGTTTTATGGCCAACATCAAGCAGTCCAGCATGAAAACCAGCACTGTTAACGTGGCATCAACACGTCCTCCACACATAAATAGCTCTTGATTCCTTCTTTAGATAGCAAAATTTTTTTGTATTTGTTGCTTGTAAAATGCTATTCCTTCTTAAAGACCAACTTAACGAGTCAAGCTGTGACAGATAATGGGTTTAACACGTTCAGTTATGTGTTATCGTAAGTGTATTCTGGCTAAATATTGCATAGCACTGATTGAAGCTAGCTAAGGTTCCCATAGTGCCAATGTAAGGTTAGCCTGGAGAGGCTAAAGTGGTTAGCTAGCCGGGAGATTAAAAGTTAGCGTTAAGAAAACTGGCAATAAAAAAAAAAAATCACACTCACTCGTCGTCTTTCAAGTAATTATCCTCGGTGATAGGTTTAATGGGAGCTATGTTTTCCGTCGTAGTGTTGTAGTTTCGGAAACACACTGTGAGCTTCTCGTCGAAGTCGTGGACAAGGTCCTCCATGGACTTGAAGCTGCAGATCTCCCCAGAGAAACTGTTGTCCAGATCCGAGAAATCGTCTAGGCCCGACGAATCGCCCACGTTTGAGTTCAGCTTGTCTAGTGGGTCGACCACGTCCGAGGACGGCTTGAATTCGTTAAAGTCCTGCCAGTCCTCATCAAAGTGGGCTAACGGCGCCGCCATGACTGCCGTGGATTCTCGGTTCAGTTAGAACCGTCGATGTTCTCTCTGCTTTCGGCTTTGACTCTCGACCAGACTGCGAGAAGGAGACACAGAGGAGAAGCGGGGTGGGCGGACCGAGCCGCGTGACGTCAGCGGCGACGTCCCTCCCCTTTTCCATGGAGCAAAACAAACACGGCAGGTGTCGTGCCAAAAAGTGATCCATGTGTCGAAAAATTAGGTTTCCGGTGTTTCTATGTTGTTTTCTTGAGTTATATCTTGTTTGTATGTACTGTTACCCTGTTGTTTTAAATACCGTCTGCTTTTAGGCTGAGAACTACCACATAAGTTCGTTCTGTGACTGCATGGCAATAAAGAATCTTTGTATCTACAAAAACTAATTGCAGCTTTTACCTTGTGACAGGAATGATCTCATGAGAATATGTTTGACAGATTACTGGACAAGAAGTCATTTATAACAGATCACTTTTTGGCAGGTGATCATTGGAGTCTTTACTATGGCCAGGGCCCTGTTTCAGGAAGCCGGTTTAGTGCAAACTCTGAGTAAGTATACCCTGAGTTAACGAAAACTCTGGGTTTTCGGTTTCACAAAGCGAGTTTAGATTAATTCTGAGTGAGTCACTATGACGACACACTCCGTGAAGCTAACCTGCCCCCTAGCAGGTTTACTTCAA